TACCTTTGTTCTGGATGTTTTCCACAGCCCCGTCCTGCGGTTTCCCTGCGGCAGAAGGACGGACGACGCCAACATCAGACAGGACGAGACACGAAGGGGGAGGATGGGGATCGGGGGTCTCCCCTCCCACCTCCCTATCCTGCTCGGGCTGGGGTCTCACCCGGAGTCACTCCGGCTCGTGGAGGCTCATCCGGAGTCACTCCCGCTCCTATAACCCACCCAGACCCCCCTGCAACCTCGGATCCGCCTCAAGTCAACCTGGAGTCAACCTAGAGGAGGATGAGTCAAGGCTGGAGGGAGGTCTGGGCTCCATCCGGGGTCACTCCGGATCGAGGCGATCTGGGCCAGGTGGCCGGAAAAAGGACTCAAACCGGAGTCAAGGCAGAGTGGCTCTGGACTGAGACAGGGCAGGCCTGAGCGCCTGGAGCCCATCTGGATCAAGGAGACTCGCATTGCCTGGCCAGAGCTCACCTGGAGTCAAGCCAGAGCCAGCGTGGAGTCGCTCCGGACAGGAGCGGCTCAGGCCCAGGTGTCTGAGTTGCTCCGGAGTCACTCCGGACTGGATGAAGGTCTCATGTCTCCCCAGACTTGATCCAGAGTCACTCCGGACTGGAGCTGGTCAGGGCTGGACACTTGAGACCCACCTGGAGTGACTCCACAATGGAGAAGATCCAGGCTGGATGGCCAAAGCCCATCTGGAGTCACTCCGGAGTCATTCCAGATTGAAGGTGATCACACCTGGATGACCTCAGCTCATCTGGAGTCAACCTGGAGTCACTCTGGTTTGGGATAGGACCCGGATGGGTGTCCGGAAACCAACCGAGATCAATCTAAAGTCAATGTGGAGTCACTCTGGATTGGGATAGGACCGGCATGGGTGCCTGGAGTCCATCTCAGGTCAATCTAGACTCAAGCTGGAGTCATTCCAGATGGGGACAGGACCGGGATGGACGTCTGGAGTTCACTCAAGATCAATCTGGAGTCAGTCCAGACTCACCAAAGGTCTTGGCTCCACTCTGTGTTGGGGAGGACGCGGCCTGGGTGGCCACAGCCGACACAGACTGGAGCCGCTCAGGGCTGGAGGAAGGTCTTGGCTCCATCCGGACTCAATCCAGAGTCGCTCTGGCTCAGCCGGCCACACGGGACCCCAGGGACACGAGGGGACGGGGCTGACAGGGGAGGCCACACACAACGGGGACGGAGGGACGGATGCGAGGACGGACGGAGGGACAGGCGACCCACCTTTCTTCTCCTTCTTCTCCTCTTCCTCCCCGCCGGCGCCCAGCAGGGTGAAGATGATGCCGGTCTGCGAGTTGACCCCCACAGCCGTCACCACCATCTTCCCCGAGCCCTCCATGACGTGGGTGCCTGCACGGGGCAGGGTGAGGGGGACAAAGAGAGGTCACAGCCGGGCCCCCAGGCTGCCTGGACGCCTGGGCCCACCCCCCGGCTCACCCGAGAGCAGCATGGGGTCCTTGTCGACCGCCTTGCGGACGTGGTCGGACTCCCCCGTCAACGCGCTCTCGTCGATCTTCAGGTCGTTGCCTTGGATGAGGATGCCGTCAGCCGGGAGCAGGTCGCCTGCCAGGGAGGCAGGTGGTGTCACCCCGGCACACCCATCCGCCTCGAGAAGACGTCACCCTCCCCACCCAGCGTGCCCATCCGCCCCGGCTTCGGGGCGGCCCCGTGGCACTCACCGTACTTGA